AGTGCACAGGGCTCTGCAAATGAGATTAAGGACTACATAATTGTGTTTAAACAAATATATGGTTCTTCTGGAGCCTGACCTTGCAAATACTTAGGCACATGAGTAACTTTACTTGTGAGTAAGCTTACTCATATGTGTGTGTTCCCAGGATCAGGTATTTTAATTAGTTACCACACAATGCCAGATGCTTTTAGTCTTTCTATATGTGAACAATTATCACAATACCAGTCATGAGCAAGATGGAAAGAGATTGTGCAATATTTTGTTTCACAGGGAATTAAAACCATTAAAAGCCAAGTGACTATCTCATTGCGGAATTTAATTAGACCATTATTCAATGGTTTGTATTTAGTTCAGTTATTTATATTTAATGTGGCTGCAAACAGCAAGCAAAAGGGTTGGTTCACTAGAGTAATGATTCATTATGTTAGTAACTAAACTCTTGAGACTTTGCAATCCTGACATCTCTGGTGAGGTCAGCTCCTGTTACTAAGATTCTGGAGTCAAATTTGAACTATGTTAGCATTGTTCTTCCAGAGAGAAAAAGGATCCGTACCAGGAGGCATTCAAGTATCTTAGAAACAAGTTTGTAGCTAGTGGATAACATGGAGTGCTGCAATGATTCAAGTTGATTTCCCTCCAATAGGTGTTTCTGTTGTCAACACAAATTATTTCAGATGGATTGAGAAAGGTAAATAATTATTCTTTGGTAAATCTAGGAGGACATGCTATAAACAGTATCTGTGTAGATGAAGTGTTATGCTGAAATTGAACTGCTACCATTATTCAGCACAGAGGGTCAAAATCATCCCTAGCATTTTAAACAAAGCACATTCCACAGAGACGAAAAATAGCAAACACAGCCTCCATTGTTACAACTGACAGCAACTTGAAGGATGTATAATACCTAGTTAGGCTCAACAGCACACAGGAGGAAAAGACTCTAAGATTAAAACACACAATCAAACAATCCAATTTTTGAATATAACAGTATAACAGAAATAGCTACAAGCTTCTAAAGATCTCCCCCCCTACAATCTCTTATGTTCCATTAACCTGGCCTGCAGCCTGGAAGTTTATCAGGGCTGCAAGATACTCTTAAATGCCCTGATCCATGATAAGGTTTATCTCTTTCCTAGATTGAAAAAAACAGAGATGTACCCAGCCTGGGGCATTTGCTGGTAACTTAAGAACAAACAAAGGGGTGTATCTTGCATTTTGTTGTTCTTTGACTATTTAACAGAATTTGCAAAAGCTCCAGTACTCTGACTGATCCAGAGGGATAGTCGTGTTAGTCGGTAACTGAAAAACACTTTAAAAACAATGAATGGTCCTGCAGCACCTTAAAGACTTACAAAAAATATAGATGGTTTCACATTATCAGCTGAAGAAGTGGGTTGTGCCCATGAAAGCTCATAAGATCATCTACATGTTTTGTTAGACTCTGAAGTGCTGCAGGACTTAGCCCATGCCATACATCTGATGAAGTGGGTCTTTGCCCACGAAAGCTTATGCTCCAACACTTCAGTTAGTCTATAAGGTGCCACAGGACTCCTCTTCTTCTAGTGAGCAGCTAGCCACAGTCACCCCTACCCCCATTCACTGGACTGCTCCTCCCAAGCACCTGCCAAGCTGGGCAAGGATGGGCAGGACAAGGGAGTGGAAAGAGAGTGAGGAGGCCAAGCTGTGACAGTGGGAGGACAGAGGGAGACAGACCGAGGGAAGGAAAGTGAAGAGAACAGGGAGGGTGAAGATGACACTGCTTGCATGAGGTGAAGGAGAGTAGCAACCAGGAAACATTAAACATTACAGTCCAGGTGAATTGAGGCCTTGTGTGCACTGGTGTGATCAATCGACTGGTTTCTCCCTCAGCTGACAGAAATGCACCTTGCATCTCTAACTGTGCTAGTCACTGCAACAAACTTCACCTCCCACGAGATACCACAGCAGCATTTCTGAGCTAAACGTTTTCAGGATTTGAACTTTGGGATGTTTTTTTATGACAAGCCAGAGTTCTGAGTAGTAACGAGACATGTGCACTGGTGTGATCAATCGACTGGTTTCTCCCTCAGCTGACAGAAATGCACCTTGCATCTCTAACTGTGCTAGTCACTGCAACAAACTTCACCTCCCACGAGATACCACAGCAGCATTTCTGAGCTAAACGTTTTCAGGATTTGAACTTTGGGATGTTTTTTTATGACAAGCCAGAGTTCTGAGTAGTAACGAGACACATGCCAGGTCTGTCTAGCTGCAAAGCCAGTGGCAGCGGGATATTAGTTCTGACCAGACATTTTTGACCAGCTCTCTGGATGAAGGAACAAAATCTGGATACCATATGCAAAATGCAGGACAATGTAGCACTTTAAAGACTAACAAGATGGTTTATTAGATGATGAGCTTTCGTGGGCCAGACCCACTTCCTCAGATCAAATAGTGGAAGAAAATAGTCACAACCATATATACCAAAAGATACAATTTAAAAAAATGAACACATATGAAAAGGACAAATCACATTTCAGAACAGAAGGAGGATGCAGGTGATGGAATTGGTCAAAGACTTTTAGAAACTCCAGACACTACTTGTTTCTCTTTCAACCATTGTTTTGACTGCACTCCCAAAGAATTCTTGTGCCTATAATTATCTTGTCCACTTTGACTATTTGCTTTGTGAAGAAGAACTTTCTGTTGTTAGTTTGAAGCCTGCTACCCATTCATTTCATTTGGTGTCCTCTAGTCCTTCTATTATGGGAACTAACGAAGAACTTTTCTTTATGCACCCTCTCCACGCCACTCATGCTTTTCATAGAATCATAGAATAATAGGACTGGAAGGGACCTCAAGAGGTCATCGAGTCCAGCCCCCCGCCCTCAAGGCAGGATCAAGCTCTGTCTACACCATCCCTGACAGATGTCTATCTAACCTGTTCTTAAATATCTCCAGAGAGGGAGATTCCACCACCTCCCTTGGCAATTTATTCCAATATTTGACCACCCTGACAGTTAGGAATTTTTTCCTAATGTCCAATCTAAACCTCCCCTGCTGCACTTTAAGCCCATTACTCCTTGTCCTGTCCTCAGAAACCAAGAGGAACAAATTTTCTCCTTCCTCCTTGTGACACCCTTTTAGATATTTGAAAACCGCTATCATGTCCCCCCTTAATCTTCTTTTTTCCAAACTAAACAAGCCCAGTTCATGAAGCCTGGCTTCATAGGTCATGTTCTCTAAACCTTTAATCATTCTTGTTGCTCTTCTCTGTACCCTTTCCAATTTCTCCACATCTTTCTTGAAATGTGGCGCCCAGAACTGGACACAGTACTCCAGCTGAGGCCTAACTAGTGCAGAGTAGAGCGGCAGAATGACTTCACGAGTTTTGCTTACAACACACCTGTTGATACAACCTAGAATCATATTTGCTTTTTTTGCAACAGCATCACACTGTTGACTCATATTCAACTTGTGGTCCACTATGACCCCTAGATCTCTTTCCGCCATGCTCCTTCCTAGACAGTCGCTTCCCATCTTGTATGTATGGAACTGATTGTTCCTTCCTAAGTGGAGCACTTTGCATTTCTCTTTATTAAACCTCATCCTGTTTACCTCTGACCATTTCTCTAACTTGCTAAGGTCATTTTGAATTATGTCCCTATCCTCCAAAGAAGTTGCAACCCCACCCAGTTTGGTATCATCTGCAAACTTAATAAGCGTACTCTCTATCCCAATATCTACATCATTGATGAAGATATTGAATAGTACGGGTCCCAAAACAGACCCTTGAGGAACTCCACTTGTTATCCCTTTCCAGCAGGATTTAGCACCGTTAACAACCACTCTCTGACTACGGTTATCCAGCCAATTATGCACCCATCTTATTGTGGCCCTATCTAAGTTATATTTGCCTAGTTTATCAATAAGAATATCATGCGAGACTGTATCAAATGCCTTACTAAAGTCTAGGTATATGACATCCACCGCTTCTCCCTTATCCACAAGGCTCGTTATCTTATCAAAGAAAGCTATCAGATTAGTTTGGCATGACTTGTTCTTCACAAACCCATGCTGGCTATTCCCTATCACTTTATTACCTTCCAAGTGTTTGCATATGATTTCCTTAATTACCTGCTCCATTATCTTCCCTGGGACAGACGTTAAACTGACCGGTCTATAATTTCAGGTTTGTTCTGGTTTGAGAGCTGTTCTCCTCCAGGTGTCCAAGGCCCTCAGGGTCCAAGAGGTGGTTTGGAAATAGAGCTCAGAGTGTTAGCTCCCTTGCGAGGGCATTCAATAGACAGGATGTGGCATGTGGAAAAGTTGATATGATATGGAGAAAGAAATCCCAGGTAATGCTCTTTGGAAAGATGCCATTTCTGTGTGCAGAAGGCTGGGTCTGCTGGGACAGGTGTAGGTTGTGTCTCACTGACACCCTGGGCACTTTTGCTTTTAGAACTGTGAAAGTAGAAAGAATTATACTGTAAGAGACAGATGAATTATGCTGTAATTGAATAAGTTGAAGGAATACTGTTTGTCTGTGAACAGGAAGAAGAAAAGTACGTTAATGTTGTTTGTAGGTATGCAGATCAGAGTGCTAGCCAGGTGGGCCTAAGATAATAGGAAAAGGAATATTAGGTGTTAGGCAGAAAGTAATTGAGATAACCAGGGAGATATGGACAGGAGATTGCTGTGTGCTTGATGTGGAAATGAAGATACTTGACTAGCCTCACACTAATCATGTGAAGTTTTGCCCCTCCTTTTAATCCTGTTAATTTGGCTTTCTTTTGACTGTATAAATCAAGGGGTTTGAACCTTGTATGGCACTCACATTTTCTGGGTGCATTTAGCAGAGCAGCTTTGCTAATTAACAGACCGGTCTGACAAATCTGTGAGTCCTGTCTGACTTTGACAGAATGAAGGTTTTTGTGCATTGCTGCCGTTCTGCACAAGTTCGCTTCCTGTCAAACTTCCATGGGCGTGGTTGCTGCTCAGTGGCTTTGGTCACTTCATGTGCACAGAGAAGGAAGTTTATCTCCTCGAGTCGTTCTTCCTTTTCATTTCTACATTTGGACTCAGTCTCCTCAGCTGTTAGTCTGGTACCGCTGTTAAGTGACAGAAACTAGCTGCCAGTCCCTCTTCAACACCAGCAGCCTGGAGGAGAGGAGAGATATTAGAAATATCGGCTTAGCTTGAAGAAGTAACAGGGCCTTCAGCAGAGAGGTAAGAGTGTGTGTGTGTGCATGTGTGCACATGTATCTGTATGGAGGAGGACTGGGGTGAGGAGCTGTGGGAAGGGTTGTTTGTGTGGCAGTTAGGGTGTATTTAAAATTGATCACATAACTGAGTTACTAGGAGACTGGTCTCAAGTTGTGGTGGGAGAGGTCCAGGTTGGATATTAGGAAAAACTATTTCACCAGGATGGTGGTGAAACATTGGAATGGGTTACCTAGGGAAGTGGTGGAATCTCTGGCCGGGTTGATTTAGTTGGGATTGGTTCTGCCTAGAGCAGGGGGCTGGACTTGACGACCTTCTGAGGTCACTTCCAGCTCTATGGTTCCATGATTCTATGAACTGGCCCCTCTCGGCAGCCATTCAGCACCTCCTCACCTTACCTGCAGCGAGAACGGCTTCTGATTTGCTGGTTAGAAAAAGTATCTTGTGAATAATTTATCAGCCAAGCAGTGAGGCTAGGACAGAAAATTGAGATTTTCAACCGTGCACTCAAAACCAAAGCGCCCGACTCCTCTACACAGCGAATCCCTGCCCCCTCCTTACCCTGCCACTGGCTTCCCCTGGCCCCCACTGGCCCTCCCTCCCCAGCAGCTGCCCCATCTGCAGCCCAGGAGAGGTGAACTCCCCTCCCTGCAGAACAGCTGTGGGGGAGATGGGGTTCACTGCTGAGCTCAGAGGGAGACAGGCGGAGGCGTCTGCTGCACTGGGCTCAGTCTGAGCCTCTGCCTAGTTCTCATCCCATACGGCCACTCGGTGCAGTCCATGGCTGGCTGAACAAGGGGAGCAGTAGTGGTGGGTGGGTAAAGGACGACCCAGCAGCAAAGCTCCTGAGCTGCCCATGATCTTGAGCAGCCTCCGAACTCCGTCCAGAATTAGAATTCCGTGGGCCAGCAGAACCGCCCCATCCCAGAAACCAGGATGCCTGCTCCTAGCTGGGTCTGTGCCTGGGTGCTTCCCATGTGCAGCCTCGACACGAGAGTACCTTGCCCAGAGCTCAGCATCAGAGCACCGGCTCTCACCTGGCTGTTGGGTGGCTGTGGAAAGAGAACAGGCCATTTCAGAGGCTTTACCCCCAAAGGAATTGCTGGGCTCTGCCACCCTGCCCTTTCTGCTGGCCTATGGCCCCGGTTCGCTCCTCGGGAGAGGAGGAAAACAGCAAAGTTGCTGCCCTGTAGATCCCGGAAATACTTTGTTCAGGATTAGAGGTTCCCGCGCTCAAACTTGCAGGGGAGCTGGAAGAAACCGTCCACCGCTGTGCTTCTTGCATCAGGCTTGGCCCCATTTCCAGTCCTTGAAACTGGAGGAAGTGCCTGCTGAGCTGTGCTCCCCAGGGATAAAATCCACACGCTAGGCTGCTGGGAGGAGGCAGCACAAAGAGCAAAGACCCAAAGATGTTACTAGATGCACAGTCTAGTTACTAGATGCCCAAAGATGTTACTAGATGCACAGTCTTTCTCTCCTGCCCAAGATTACACCTGCTGGATCACCCAGCAGAGACTGATGACAAAGAGTCCGCGAAACTGAATCTTTCCAGGTGTTAATTTGTGGAGGGAGAGAGCCCAAGTTATGATGTCACTTCCCTCTTTTATCCATCGATTTGGCCACAGTCTGGCAAACATCTCCACGTGTGTGTAAATACGTGAGTATCCCCATTGCCTGCAGTGGGACTCGCCACGAATATGTCTACACTACAGCACTAATTCAAACTAACTTAGTTAATTCAAACTAAGCTAATTCGAACTAGTGCATCTAGACTTAAAAACTAGTTCGAATTAGCGTTTCGCTAATTCAAACTGGCATGTCCACATTGAGTGGACCCTGAACCGAGGTTAAGGCTGGCTGGAAGCAGTGCCCACAGGGCATCAGGTTAGGACTTAGAGTGTGGAGCTGCTGTCTCAGGCTAGCCGAGGGCTGTCCTTCCATGACAGCGCTCCAGTCATGCAAGTCATCCCACCAAGTCTCTGTTATCCCAATGATATCATATTTCTTGGACTGGGCCAGGGCTTCCAGTTCTTCCTGTTTGTTGCCCAGGCTTCTCGCATTAGTGTACAAACACTTCAGGTAACCGGTTGATCGTCCTATCTTCTCCATTTGAATTAGACCATGGCTAGTGCACTGTGGGAGCTACTGGAACACACAAAAAAGAGCAGCAACAGAGTAAAAACAGTGATGAAGCCCCTTGAAGACAAGTACAAGGCTTGTTCCTGGCTCCCTGAGATTGACCATCGTCTTCCAGGCCTTCAAAGGCTTCCCCGGGTTCAGCTCAGGGCTGTCGTTGGAGGCATTTTTGACTCTTCATCATTGGTGGGATATATTTTATGGGTGGTCTCCAAAGGCCACAGATGTTTTAAAATTGATGCTGCATCCAATTGTTGTTGTTGTAGTAATAGGGGGCTGCTTTATTTGTGGGTTGTTTTGTGCTGTTGCACCAAACAAATGGCCCAGCATTTGCAAATGCTTATGGCCTATCATGAGGCCATATATGGCCCTCCACAGGCACGATTCTACCAGGAAAGAAGGGCTGGAGTGTCAGGGCTGACCGCCAGTTACCCTGCACCTTATCTCAGATTTTCCAGCTGGAGTCAGCGGTGAGCTGGCTTTAACCGGTGATGAGCTGGCTCTTGGCCTCCTTAGCAACATAAACAAGTTGCGAGATAATTAGACCCAAGGACATGAGATATGAGAACTAAATAGCGGTGGTGTTTCCTGCCAGAATCTGCCTGTGGATATTGCGATGAGGTGAAGGAACCCCGCACTATCGGGGATCCTGGGAGGGTGGAGCCGGCCGGCTTCCTTACAGATAGTTAGGCCACTAAGAAAAAAATAATTCTAAGAGACCAAAAGGCACGGATCGGGAGAACAGTCTCTCCCATGGACCTAGGCCATGTGGGTACCCAGGGACTCCCCACACTGGAGCAGCGCCCGCTACTAGCCCTCAAGAGCACAGATGGAGGGTCTGGGACTCTCTGTAGCAGAAGGGGCGTAAGGATTGGATTTGTGCTTGCCTGCTGGCTTGCTTGATTTGCTGCTTGTTTCTCCACACTGAGAGGCACAGATTTAGTTACACATGAAGACTGTGAAGTGCAATATGTCTGGACAATAAAACCCCTTATATTTATGCACCCGGTGTGGCTTCATTGAGTGGATCCATGCCTACTGTTAGGGTACATCTACACTAGACCCTAGTTCGAACTAGGGAGGCTAATGAGATCGAAATTGCAAATGAAGCGTGGGATTTAAATATCCCACACTTCATTAGCATGTTCCCAGGTGGTCACCATTTTGGAAACTGACTAGCCCGGAATAACTGCCCGTGTCTACACGCGGCAGAGAAACGGGAGTTCGAAGTAAACCACTTAACTCGTATTAGCTGTTAAACCTCATTCCATGGAGAGCTAGTCAGTTTCCAAAATGGCGACCTCCCGGGAACATGCTAATGAAACACGGGATATTTAAATCCCACCAAACCTCGATGAGGTCCACGATATCCGCACTAGACCAGGTGGGCGCCTGCCTCTTGCGGACCCGGGCAGGCTCCTGGGAGCCACCAGTCTGGTCCCAGGAAGAGGCGGAGGGCTGGGTGGCAGTGGGTGGCTGGCTTGTGCTGTGCCAGGTGCAGGGTCTGCTGACTGGGTTCTGGCAGGCTTGCAACTGGCACAAGCACTGTAGCCAGACTGTTCCCCTTTAAGAGCTCCGGGGCTGGGAGGGGGGCAGAAGAGTTTCCCTGGTTTGGCCCAGAGTGGCCATCAGGGCAACCTTGGACGGGCTAGCCTCCAACTAGTTTGAATTAAGTGGCTACAGAGCCCTTAATTCGAACTACTTAATTCGAACGAGGTGTTAGTCCTCGTAGAATGAGGTTTACCTAGTTCGAATTAAGTTCGAACTAGCGGTTTGCATGTGTAGTGCCTATTAACTTTGTAGTGTAGACATACCCTCTGTTCTTAAACAAGATAATGAGTGTTTCAGGATCAGTGCCTCTGGCCGCAGTAATATATGAATGGAGATGCCTATCTCCTAGAATTGGAAGGGACCTTGAAAGGTCATTGAGTCCAGGCCCCTGCCTTCACAGCAGGACCAAGTACCATCCCTGACAGATTTGTGCCCCAATCCCTGAATAGGCTCCTCAACAACTGAACTCACAACTCTGCGTTTAGCAGGCCAATGCTCAAGCCGCTGAACTATCCCTCCCTCAGTATGATGAGGCACTTAATGATATGCCTGACTTGACGTGCACAAGTACAGGTTGAACCTCTCTTGTCTGGGACTCTCTGGTCTGGCAACATCCATCATCTGGCAGGATGGCAGATGGTCCTAGATCAGAGAGCCCCGGCTGCAGAGGTGGAGAGCAGTTGGGAAGAGAGTGGGCCTGGCAAACCAGGAGCAGAACTCCAGAAGCAGGCTGGAAGAGCAGAAGCAGGCAGGTGGGTGGAGGAGCTCAGGCCTCTGGGTTCTCCTGGGCAGGTGGTAGAGCCCAGAAGCCTGACCTCCCCTGGCCCAGCAAATTCCCTTGTTCGTCTGGATAGAAACACTCGGCTAAACTATCGCTCCAGTCCTGAGGGCGCTGGACCAGGGAGGTTCAAGCCTCACTCCCATGGAGTCACACGTCAATAGAACGGCTCGTGATGTAAATTAAGGACATGCTCAAGAACCTTGCTGAGTCGGGGCCTTTTTTCTAAAGAGGGAATAATTGCAGAGGAAGAACGATGGGCATTGAGTATAAATAAATACCAACATGTCATTTTCAGAGCCTCACTCTAATGGCCAAGATCAAGATTTCAAGGTGAAGAGCAGAGCGTTTCTAGCGTGTTTTCTAAACTCTGAGTGTGCTGATTAACGGAGGATGGCAAAGGAGTAACACATTTACTGTGACTGTTCCAGGCAGGGCTGGACGGGAGGAAGAGCGAGGGAGACGACATCACCTCTGGTGAGAACGTTAAACCAAGAGCCTGTCCTGGCCACATTTCAGTGTTTCATTCAGCAGACCTGCCTCTTCCCGGTTCCAGCTTTTCGCTGGGGATCCAGAAGACTCTGTTCTGGGCCCCTTCTTTTCTCCCTCTGACCCCGTCTGTTTAGTCCATAAATGTTTTATCTCTGTGCTGACCACTCCCAAGTCTGCACTTCCCATCTGCCTCCTTCTCTGCAGGCTAAAATCTCTGCCTGTCCTCCAATGAGTCCATGTCCAGCCTTCAGGTCTGATAATGGCCACGAGACATGTTTAACCTCTCCCAGCAAAACCTGCCTCTTCTCTTGTCCTTCTCAGCTACTCTGCCAACGCAAACTCCCTCTGTGTCACTCAGGTCTGGGATTGAACATCACTCAGTTCCCCCATTTCCTCCAGCAATTCCCTCTAGGCCATGGCTACATCTCGCTGCTTCCTCCTGCACAGCCTCCCTCTAATCCATCTTTCCTCTCTGCCTGCCCAGCCACCCCTCCCCTCCCACACTGCTTGGTCCATCAACCTCCTCTGCCTCAATGCCCTTCCCACACGGAGCACGCCCCAGTGCATGACTGCTGCAGGCATCATCTCCCTGGCGCTTTGCTTCAGCCACAGCACCTCCCCTCTCGGCTTCCTTTTACCCCCCCTTCCCACCACGTCAAACCACCCGGCTTTGTGTTAGTTCCCTTCACGCTCTGTGCCTGCTCCATTATCTCGCGGTACATTTCTCCTGAAGCCGCCGTTCTGCGCTGTCTGCAGAACACACAGCCACGGTGAGGCCTCTGATGTGCTGGAACCAGGGATCCGCCTCACTCGGATCCTGGGCTCTCAACAGTCACCCCCAGTCTCTTGATTGCACTCGCGCTGTAAGCTCCTTAGTTCCAGCAGAGCCATTTGGTCATTCCCCTTCCCCCAGCCCATACATTTCTCCTGAAGCCGCCGTTCTGCGCTGTCTGCAGAACACACAGCCACGGTGAGGCCTCTGATGTGCTGGAACCAGGGATCCGCCTCACTCGGATCCTGGGCTCTCAACAGTCACCCCCAGTCTCTTGATTGCACTCGCGCTGTAAGCTCCTTAGTTCCAGCAGAGCCATTTGGTCATTCCCCTTCCCCCAGCCCATAGGAGAGTTGGTTCCTGGATCGAAGGGTCATCTCCTGGTACCTCCGCACCGCAGCAGGGTCATTGCAGGGCACGGCAGAAGGGCCTGGGTGTGACTAGCCCACTGGAGAGGGGCACTGGAAATGGTCAAATCTTGGCTCAGCCCAAGAGCCCCTTGTGACTTTGGGCAGATCCCTTAGTCTGTGTCTGTGCCCCAGTTTCCCATCTTTAGGATCAGGACTCTTATTTCATGGGATGCAGTCAGGGGTCTGCAGGGAGGGTGGTGGGGCGCTCCGAGACGGTGGTGACAAGAGCCCTGTACATCCCGGCCTGGAGTTTAGATCACACATTGCTTTCAGATGCTTGCAGGCCCCACGACCCCCCAGTATTATTGGCCAGAATCTCAGGCTGGAGGGAGAACACAAGGCTCTGGGCGATATATTAATACATTCTCTTGGGTGTGTAGAATCTTAAATGCTCACCAAAGTAGAGGGAAAAATCCTTTATGGGCAATCTTCTGTAAACACCCCCTATCCTGACCCCCACGCCGTCTGCCTGTCTCATCCGCGCTCTGCTTCCACTCCCTGCTCCACACCACGTACAACCCATGCCCTTCCATGGCAGCCTGGAACCTTCCTTTCTGCGCTGTCAGGCATCATGTGTATGTAAATGCCGAATGACAGGTTTGCTAAATTGTGGTTTAATGATGTGGCAGAAGGGCCACTAACCAGGATAAAATGAAACTTGGGATTCCCCTAGTGAATCGGTGTCGGCTCTGGTGAAATACTGGTGAATTACATCCTGGGCCTCTTAGCAGTAATTATATCAGCAGAAATACCACTCAGGTGCTTACTGTGTGAACCTTGCTACCAGCAGACCCAGATATGAGATCGGAGCTCAGAATCATCCTCGTTGGCAAAACCGGCGCTGGGAAAAGTGCCACGGGAAACACCATCCTCGAGGAAGGAAAGTTTGTGTCCCAACTTAGGGCAACACCAGTGACCGTGACTTGTGAAAAGGGGCGAAGGAGCTGGAAGGGGAGGGAGCTCGTGGTGATTGACACCCCTGCCATCTTTGACCGAAAGGCACGTGATACAGTGACATGTAGTGAGATCAGTCGCTGTGTCGAGCTCTCTGCCCCAGGCCCCCACGCTCTGGTGCTGGTGACCCAGCTGGGCCGTTACACTGAAGAAGACAAGGAAGCCATGAAGCGAGTCCGGGAGATCTTTGGAGATGGAGCCATGAGGCACACGGTCGTCCTGTTCACCCGGAAAGAAGATTTAGGGGCTGGCTGCTCCCTGCAGGACTATGTGAGACACTCAGATAACAAAGATCTTAAGGGGCTGATTCAGGCGTGTGGGAACCGCTACTGCGCTTTCAACAACAAAGCAACCGGGACAGAGCAGACAGAGCAGGTTTCGGAGCTGGTAGAAATGATCCAGAGAATGGTGCAGGAGAACGGGGGCAGGTATTATGCCAGTAAGAGCTATGCAGCTGAGCAAAGGAAGCGATTTCCTAGGGGAATAAATAAATCTCGTGCATTGAGGGTTGCAAAAGCAGATTCTGTGAACCATAAGGAAATGATTTGGTGTTTGGGGGTTATTGCGGTTTGTATTGCTGTGCCTGTCCTACTCCTGATGTTTTTCCCCTATTAAGAGCAATACATAAAGTTTTTTTGCAACCCAACCTGACGTTTTTCCAAACCTTCTGTCTCAGTTTCTCCAGCATCCTCATCCTTATGCTAGGGCAGCCCATTGGTACAAAATCCCAGTTACAATGTCAATGTTTCTTCTTTCTTCCCATCCTGTGTGTTAATGATGCCAAATTCTTACACAGACTTTCCATCAGTAGCTCACCAAGCAAGACGGCAACATTGTCAGCCAACAGTCAGGGCAGTGTGTGCGTGTGTGTCTCCCAAGTCTTTAACTGCTAAGACACGAAGTCTCGTCGCAACGGGCAGCCAGAAGGCTGAAAGGAGCCCCGAAAGTTTAACGTCCGTGTCTTTACTGCTAGGACTGGGGTCCCGTCGCAGAGGGTGGCCAGCAGGCCAACAGACGCCCCGGTTTTTAGGAAGAGCTTATTACACCTTAGATTTTAACTGCTAGAACACAGGGTTCCTTCACAGAGGGCAGGCTAGGAAAGGCTGAAAGGTGCCCCAACGGACCTGCCACCTGGGAGTGACACAGATCCAAACGCCCAAGCTCTTCCTATAACTGTCCCTTTATGACCAGCTGAAGTTCTTTGAAATTGTGCTTGGTTCTATTACAGCAACTGAAGGAGTCAGGTTAAAGCTTAAACAGTTACAGGTTTATTAAAGGAACTTATAAATCATATGATTACAATGGCTATTGCACTATTTCTTAAATGCTAGCAAATATATATATAGATCTTAAAAAGTGGTTACAGGAAAAAGGTAAAGATAGAAAATAGAAATAATGGTACCAAGTGACAGCTTAATCTTTAAAGAGCTCTAACACTATGTATATATATACTTAAACAAAGGACCACATCCAGGTATAATTTTTACCCCTTTCTGTGCCTCTCGACTCCAGCGTGTCAGGCCAGGGTCGGTCCCTCAATTCCTCGGAAAGACGAATACGAGGTGGGTGTCCCCTCTGGAACCTCGGGAGGTCAAACACCTAACCCAACCAGCAGCAGATAGGTGGTAGATTGACACACAAAGTAAGTGTGCTGCTGGACTCATCTTTATACCCCTGGGGGCCCGTATTCTCTTTCTTATCTTAAGAGGCCAAATTTTACTGGTCTGTTTTGTGGCGCCAGTTCTTACAAGCAAGTTTCTAGTTAATTTACACTTGTAAGAGAGGAAGATAGCTAAATTAGGACTGCCGGATATTCTTTTCTGGGCGGGAGATTCCTCCCCCCGCAGATGGCTGTGTGTTCGTATCAATATGGGTTAAGTCAAGGGCACTATGTGCAGCCTCTTGGTCAACAATTAGTTTGACCACCCTCCTATCTCTGCTTACAGTTGGTCATGGTCACTGAGCCAGCATATCTAAACCTCCTGCTCCAAGGTTTTCAAAGAATATGCTGTTTTCCTGCTCTGTGTGTTCTGCATGCTTTCAAGCAGACAAAGATGGATGTTAAATGGAGATTCGTGTCTGGCTACAAACATTCTTCCCATTTTACAAATGCGGAAACTATAGTTCAGAGCTGGCATGTGATTTGCCTATAGGCACCCCCGAAGCCCTCAGGCAGAACTGGAAACTGTCCCGTGGTCCAGCCCAGAGGCCTCAATATTAGCTTAGGTTAAAGATTTTGGGACAATCTCTGCTCTGATTTACCATTTGCAGTAGAGTTTCGAATTTCAGTGGAAAAATGTGGATTATGGCCATGTAGCTGCATTCGGTCACATGGGAGTTGCAGTGGGATACCTCTATTGCTTTCAGGGGAGTACTGTGAATTTACGGTCAGACAAGGGATTGCAGCAGAGCCCTCTCCAGAGACATGTGAAATAACACCCGCTAGCGTGTGCATTTACAGTGGGTAGACACTGAGCACTGCAAAGTTTCCATTAAAAGTAAAATTTTGAACACTTAGTGCCATGAATATGTGGGACTCCATTGGCTTCCCTGCAGCCACACCAGGAAGGAATGAGGGAGATAAACTAGGGGAAGTACAACAGACGCTGTCTCTTATTGAGGTAATCGCTTACAGGGCTGCTCCAGCTTCTACTTGCCATTCCAGCCATGCACGCACAGACTGACTTCCTGGTGCCTCCTCCAATGTGTGCAACCCACGCATGGTGCTGCACCTTTACATTTTCTAATGTATTGATTTTGTCTTATGTTGAGCAGATATTTGGTTACTGGTGGGGCCAGTCACCCAGCCTTTGTCACCAGCCCACCGTGCCTGGTCAGGCATCGCAGTCTTACACGTGTGCTGCTCTTCAAGCCAACCTTCTGCCTTGTCTCTGTTACTGCTGTGGGTGAGGGACACAATTTCACCCTGTTGCTTTCTCCCAGTCTGCTGGGTGCCATCCTGCTAGTCCTGCATGTTGCTCATCTCCCCTGTACTTCTCCCCACCCGCATTAGTCCAGCTGTTGTGTGAGACGCATTCTAAATAAGCCGTCATGGGATAAGGGGGAAGGGCCTCCCCCTAGTCAGTAAGGCTGGGTTTAGAATACACCTCTCTGTCGACAGAGAGATGTAGATTAGCCACGTTGAAATTGCTAAAGAAGCGTGGATTTAAATATCCTGCACTTCATTAGCATTAATAAGGCTGCCACTTTTTTCAAAACGGAGCTTTTCCAGAAAAAAAAAGGCAATCTAGATGCGGATCTTTCGAAAAATAAACCTTTTTTTGAAAGATCCTTTATCCCTCATACAACGTTTGCCCATTACAGAAATTCACTCAGAAGAGCAGAGTCCAAAGCAGACTGTGAAAAGGTACAAAGGGACCTTGCCAAAGTTGGTGACTGGGCAACAAAGTGGCAAATCGAATTCTCTGATGGCAAGGGCAATGCAGGGCACGTTTGAAAACATAACGAGGGGGTCTCACTTAACTGTTGCCACCCAAGAAAGGGACCTTGGAGTCAGCATCCAGAGTTCTCTGAGAACACCTGCTCCAGACTCGACCCTGAATGAATATTGGGAACTTACATAAGAACATAAGAACATAAGAACGGCCGTACTGGGTCAGACCAAAGGTCCATCTAGCCCAGTATCCTGTCTGCCGACAGTGGCCAGCACCAGGTGCCCCAGAGAGGGTGGACCGAAGACAATGATCAAGCGA